CGTCCCTGTAAAGGACTTATCGCTTGTTCGGAAGACGCTAGAGCACAACGGCAACGTGGCAGATGCTTTACCAGTCCTGAACAGCATCACGCCAGAAGACCCACCGACTTGGAAGGCGACTTCGATCGTGCTCCTCGCGAGAAAGCAGAAGGCTCACCGCAAAGTCACGATTGTCTTCCCGAAGAATATGTTGCTAAGTGTATGGCAGGAATCAAGATCTACCGAAAGTCGTTGCCAAGCGATCATCATGCGGGCAGAATGGGGTATCTATTTCGAAGATGGGTACTTTTGTGGAGGAAGATCTGAAAGCGATGCTCATGTGGCATGATGAATATCCGAAGCTGGTTGCTGTGCATGATCTTGCAGAATGGATCAGAGTTTCAAAGTTCACTCGAATTCGCTACCTAGCCCGCTAAACAACTGCACCACCGTTGATTTGAAAGCTTGCGCAGCACGTCTAGAATCGATCAGTGTAACAAAGTTGGTCAGTACACGGTTCGGACAAGTGCAAGTACATGAACTAGCTTTTTTTGGAGATCTGAGTGGCTGGATGACTCGTGCTTCAAAATTGTTATGAGCCATCTTATCGATCAAGACCAAGACAAAAGCGGAAGAAGTCGTATTGGAGGGGTGAATCCATTGTATGCGAGAGTGCATGACGAATCCATGAAGCAACAAGTTATTGCCAACTCGCCATGTCAGACTACCAACCGGTTAGTTCTCATTCCTATGTATCTGGAATCGCACTGGGCTGGTGTTGTCCTGGATTACGAGAAGAGGAAAGCAACGATGTTTGACCCGGCGCAGACGATGACAAACTACAAGGAAATCAGCAAAATTTTGGACAAGTATTTTGGAGGATACACTAAGACCCTTGATCCTATTCATCAACGCGCCCCACGACAAGAAGATATAAATAGTTGCGGTCCCTTAACTCTCTTGTTCTTTGAGTGTGCTGTGCAAGGTATCCCAGTTCCCAAGGTTTCCAGCGAACAAGTCGAGTATCTACGCTTTGGTTTTTTTTCTTCTGTCTAGCAAGGGAGTGTTCTGCAGGGTAACCATGAACGATTCATAACTGCACAAAATACATTGCCGTTTTACTTTGTTGATCCGGAATCGCAAAACGCTAAGTCATGGCACTCTGAATCTGCGTAACCCGATCCCACGTTGAGACGAAAGCCGCCGACGACAGGCATACTTGACAGGTGTAAAATAACAATAGATTGCAGAATACCCATAGTTGCGCTTTGCGGCTGCTTTGGATTTCATGAGCGATGGCAGACACAAATTTTTCGCTAAGTCGCCTCCACACTCAGTCAACATTCGTACAACGTCACACGAAAATCTCTACAATCAGCTCATTCGTAGAGAAATCAGATCGTACATAATTATTTTATTTCGTACCTAAGGTTTTTAATACGTACTTAGCAGGATTAAATTACGAACCACTAACGAAAAACTAACCGGTTAGTGGTGATTGGTCATCTTGGTTGGTGATCAATGGACCGGCTATGCAAACTGGTTAGTGACTCTAACACGAGCTTTGGAAAAGGCTGCCGATGTATTAATACTTCGGCACTTCACACACTGCGGCATGCATACAGTGTACTGGCACTTACAGTAATGCTGTGAGGAAATACCATCGGTCAGTAGAAAACTACTGATCTGTCCCCAA